CATGCACTTCTTCATGTCAAATGCTTAAAGTAGCTTGGTCCAGCTCTTGGAAATCCCAATCGATCCGTGTGCCACAACGACGGACTCAAGTCATGGAGACGGACTTCGTCGGACTCAACGACGGACGGACTCGCGTCTACGAAGTCTTTGAAAGAACTCCAACAGCTATCGGAACGACTCGATCAAAATCGACTCAGATTGAGCTCAATAGGATTCGTTGTGGATGGTTTAACAGGATTCATTTAGAGGAAAGGGCCACGGCGTCGCCATTTTAAACAAAATCCGCTGAGCTATCCACCCTGGGCCCGATAACTGCCACAAGCTGCTGTCTTTGGGACCTACCAGGAGTATCCTGTCGAGATGTCAGATGGAGGATACCGGATACCACATATTTTTTTCTTTTGGGGGGGTCTATCCCATTACCTTCATGTTGACATTCAGCTGGGCCTTCAGCTGATCCTGCAGCTGCAGCTGGAGGTGATTTCCAACAGTTTGCAATACAAATGATCAACATGTGCAGGAACGGATGATGATGGAATGATGGTTGCAGGCCCTTTCTCTAAAATAGTGAGAATACCGACTGTTACAGGCACTGTTACGGACAGACCAACGTATGGACTTGAGGAACCGACAGTCCAAATAATATGTCCAAACCATGGATGGCTCAGACACCACAAACAGAATATTTCGTCGAACCTTGGTACATGTTTTTGATCATCCAACATGCCATACCACCCACCATGGAGGCCAAAAGGACAAGAAACACCATGGAGGCCATCCACTATTTTGATAACCTTGTCTTTTTGTTCCTGCCGCTTTCCCCTGCAAGGCTGCGACCTCCAGGGTGCTCCTTCTTTCTGACAATCATGAACCTTGACCCATGTCTTCCACCTCGGTCCCGGGCCCTTCACAGCCCAATGCCGTGAAAGCTCCGCTCCCTGCTGTGCTGGACGTGCCAGGCCAGGCACCGAAGAAGCGGTACGGCCTTTGACCCAAGTATCATTGCCACCCCGCAAGCAAACGCATCAGATCTGGTGGCTCCAGTGTGCGTGCGCACCGATAAGAGTGTGCGTGGTGTTTCTGAATAGAGATTGATTGAGGGATTGCGGAACCAAATGGACAAACACAAATCATGATCATGAAGCGACTATGTGGAGGTCAAATGAGGTCAAGCTATTGTACGGGCCGAGATGTCAGAGCAAGCCTCTGAACACTCTCCGAGGAACCATCACTGGCTTTGAAAGGAAGTTGCAAGGACCTGAACATGAATCCCTGCCATGCTCTAACTCTTTGTGCATCCCTTCTGAAATGCCAATCACCCAATCACCTTCTCAATGCGGAGCCCATCGATCAATGCGATTTCACCCTTGTGGAGAGGTCCTGTATCCGAAGGACGGCATATGACCACGCAGCAACGACCAGACTTCTGGCTGGGACAGCACCACGCTGTATAAAGAAACGCATTTGGAAGCAAAACATCAGCCAAGGGCCTACAATGTCAACATACCTAACCTCATAACCTTATATAACCATGTGACCTTCTTATAAGCCTTATTATACCTGTCTCAAAGGTTTTCCCCAGGTTGGCGGCTCTGATTTCGACTTGCTTCGACTCTCGACTCAGTCAACACTCTACAGCTCACAACCCAGCAAGTACCCAGTCACCAACCTGTGTGCGGAGGACATGCTCGCCCCAAACGGCCCAGGATACTCTCCGACTCCGGAACATGGAAGTCGGTAGCAAATTGAATGGACAATAGATGACTGCAAAGTGGGAGCAGTGGCACTGCCTTTCACCATCTGTATATACCTGTCCAAATATATGTATATATAGAGTCACTCCAAACACCCCACTAAAACAGGGACCCACTGGTTTTTGATGAAGTTTGCCGATCAGCACGGGAAACAGCCGTGAACAACTGAAGTGTCTTTTGAAACGCAAATACCTTGGGGACTGCCCCAAGAGATGCAAAACGATTTCGTTTGTTCATGTTCGCTCTGTGTCTTTATGCCGTCTGTAATCATAAGTGTTGAGGAAAGTTTTTTTGGGGTTCTAAATCGAACAACATCGAACAACATGAGCTATTCACAAACAAATGAATGCTGAGGACACTGCAGCTCTATGCTTGCTGCCTGCTCGCCTCTCATCAGGTCGACTCGCCGTCCTTCCGAAGTGGGCACGCTGTTTCAGCGCGTGCCATCTGCATGAGAGGCGTGCTGCATCTCAACATGCGCACTCACGAAGGTGAATCCTTCAGAGCAATGACCCAGATAGAAAGAACCGATGAGTCCATGCACTCTTCGGGCGGATCCAATGTGGATCTGATGAAAGGATGGATGGACTTTGGGTTCTCCATTTAAAGTGTTTCGTCCTGGATATCTATAAGAAAACCTCCCCCAACGACAATATGTCAATGTCCGAAGCCCCTAAGTGCAGCTTGCTGTTGACTTAAAACTACCCCTCTATATAGACACTACCAAAAAGCAAACCAATAAGTTTTCTGTTTTGATGCGGTACCTGCTAAATCACCGCCAATCCTGCCCCTAGCGTCGCGCGAGACGTCGCAAAACAAAAAACGCATTACATATCTGTTCCCCACTGGCATGGAGCCACACCGTCCACACTGTCCAGTGAGGCCCTTATTTGTCACTCAAATGGAAAAATATCAAAGACTGAATCAATATTTGAATCAGGATAATCAAGGTCCTCAGGTCCTTGGCAAGGGAAAATGAAGATCTTCAACTTGGATGTGTTTTTTCTTCAATTCTTGACATGAGTTTATTACAAACAGGATTTTGTGTAAACATGACCAGGCAACTTGTTGGCTTTGAAGCTCCTGTGGAGAGTTTTGAAGGGGGTTGGGGATCTGCATGGATGTGTGGTACATACAGAACAGATTGCTCTTTAGATCTCTTTGGTGGTGTGGTTAGCGTTATTTGCTGTGACATGCTGAGGTCACTAGATCCCAAATCCCAACGATCTCTCAGATCCTTCGATAGTAAAAAAGGTGTTGCAATCTGCAATCCATCAATCAAATTTGTTAAAGTTGGATCCCATTTGATGGTCCATGTCAGCTCTTGACAGGATACCAATGTCAGATCGTACGTACTTCCACGCACTGCCCAGCTGCTCTTGAAGGATTCCTCTCACTGCAGATCTCTGTCCTCGAAAAATACCGGCTTGAGCAGCCGGTGATCTGACCGACATGGTCCTGAACGGTCTGGAAAATGCCAGGCAAACGATGCCTTCGAATCTCGGTCTCTTGATGTGTACTTCGTCCTCTGCTCTTCAAATGTGGGCGGACTCCAGACTCATCGTCGCTGGCGCGCTGGCGCAGAGTTGGAGTCCAACAGCAGCAGGCGAGCACCGTCGGGGCTGCAGCGCGGAGTTGGGGTTGAAAATGCGTAGCATCTCTTCCAAGATGCGAAATCCTTAAAGACTATAGACTCATCTCTTAATCACTTTCCTGGGTTGGAGTAGAACCTGGCATCGTTGGGGCGCTAAAGTCAAGCCCGTTTGTAGGGCCCAGCCAAAAACATCTCTCACGTTCGGGACACCCAAAAGTGGAGAGGGAAGCGTCACTGAGAGGGAAGCGAAGACTTCTTGATCTGGTGGGTCTGTCTGCGAAGACCACAGGGGGGTGCTGCTGCTACTGCACAGGGGGTTTCTACTGTACTCCCCCTGACGGGCCCGGTTTGGAAGGTTGGATCAGCTTGGAGAGCTTTGTAGATCTGGACAAATGCTCAATCGATGAGGCACTGGGAGCTCCTAAGGCACCTCCTTAGGCAGCTTATACAAGCGCTTGTCTTTTTCACGCTCCGACCGCAGCTCCGACCAGACGGGAAAAAGGTTTGGCTCGATCGGCCACTGTCTTCGCCCTCAGAGAACGAGTCCATCTTCGGTCTGAGGATCGTCGTCTTGCGGCCAGTGAAAAGACCAGATTGGCGGCTCCAGTCGACATGTTTTTTTGTGGTTTAATATCATTAATAATAGTTATACCAGCTATCCAGCTATACTTGGATCCTTCAACAGGTGACTTCGTGACAACAGGTGCCCTAAAAACACTGGTTGAATCCTGTTGTGAGTCCGAAAAAAAGGCTGTGGTAGGTTCTGTGGCACTAAGAAGGAGTGGGTGAAGCAGTTCTGTGCCTGAGCTCTTTTCGGTGAGCACGAATAGGGAGACATCCGTTTGATCCCACTCAGAAGGAACATCGACGAGTCTACCCACTGGTTGCAGATCTCCCTCTACAAATACACACCCAAAAACCATCAAAATCACTGATTTCCACTCAATCCCGTCGCGAGGGTGACTGCGAAAGCCGAAAGACCTCCTCCCAGGGTGACCGTGAGCTTCCGCATCGCCTAGGTTTACTTGATGTGCACTGAAGATGATATGCACCGAAGTGTGCAGAATGTCCACCCTTAAAACCGACTTAAGAGTCACATCGAATCACACCTTTTTATCCTTTCTTAGCTTGGAAGAAGTCGGACGTTGCTTTTCTACTGCATCTTCTTGGGCGGCAGTCCGAGGTGTTCCATGTCCAGTATCTTGACGAGACTTGACTTGCACCGTTGAAGAGGGCACTTAGAATGACCTATCTCGTCTAGTCTAGCTGGCTGTGAAGTGGGTATTGCTTCAAACTATGCGCTAAGCCCCAGCCATTGGTAAAAGTACAACCAAACTCAAACCATCAGCTGATCATCAGCTCTCCAGACCTAATAATCAATTGAATGCAGCAGCATGATTGGTGAGAATCACAATGATAACTTCAAATCCCTGCTGTATCCGAACCGCAAAACGACCTGGAAAGTAAGCGGCCTCCCCCACGAGCCCTGAACAAAGGGTCAGGATCTGTGCGCGCGCGTGTGGATCGGCAAAAGGCTCTTAGTGAGGTTATCAGGTGTGCAAGATCATGTCTTTGGCATGAACATATGTATTTCACTCATAGAAAGTTGCTATCATGGCTAGAGATGCCAAACATGTCAAACATCTTCTGCCATCGAGGTGGGTTTGTTCCTCACACCTTTGCCGCACGCCTCCGCAGCAGCTCCACTGTATTGCGCCAATGCGCAAAACAACCACAGTATTTACACTCGGGTGTCACTCATTGGTCCAACGCCCACCTGCGGTCCAGTCTCTCACTTGGGACTCCAGCAGTCGAGAAGTCCCAAGACCACATGTGCCGGGTGTCTTCCCAGAAACCTATGAAGTGCATGCTTGAAAGGAACAAGCATGCTGTTCATGCAAGTAAGTGCATGTGTGTATGTATCTAGAATCTAGTATCTATAAATAGATGTACTGGGTATACCCAAAGAACCAAGTTCTCCCCAAGTCTTCCCTGAGACTTGGACGAGCCGGACAAACTTCTGAGTCTATTTGCTCTCGTATGTCTTCTATTATATGTTCCCCATCTGACTCCAGTCACTCCGAGAGCAGCAAGCTCGCGCGGCAGAGCGGCAAGCTCGCGCTGGTGCATCCGTAGAGACTGAGATTGGGACCGCAAATAGGAGGTTATTGAAAAGACCTGCTGTGAAATGGACAATTTGGCTGTGTGTCAGGTTCCCTGATCAAGACCCCCATGTCATTGCAAAAATGAACAGAATGGTCCAAATGAAATTCAAATTCAATTCCGAGTACATGGCCCAAACGGTTTGGTTCTTTTGATCAACAAAATATTATCTCACACACACATTACACTTATATAACTGGAATTGTTTACATGTTGTTACAAAAGAACGGTTGTTTGCCTTTACTTTTGATCCACTCTCCAGTCTGCATTCAAAGAGGATCTCTTGCTGTTCTCATGTCAGTGACTTTATGGCGAAGCCCTGGAGATCTGAGCATCTTTTCACTGACGTCTCAGACCCACTGAGTGTCCTGCAAGGCGTTTAACCCAATCAGCCAAGCAGGCACCAACCCCAGCCACCACACGAACGTGTTCTTCACAGCACCCAGCAAAACCATAGCCACCACGCGAACGACCCGATTCTGAAGACATGTCGGGTCAAAAGCCCATTAAGGCACGATCCGACGAAGTCCCTGCTGGCGCACCTCCCCGAACGGTTCCTCCTCGCGAAGGGCTGAAACGACTCTGGCGTAGCCCTTTTTTCGACCTGCAGGAGGCCATTTGGAGAAGAGCACGAAGGTCCAAGGGCGGAATTGCGCCGGGTGTACCATTTCTTGTTTTCCGAAGAAAAAGCAAAAAAGAATCTGCAAATATCAATTGTCAAGATTTCCAAGGAATCAATTGACGGTTCTTGTCACACTATTACACCGTTTGGGATCAAAAGGAGAATTCTTCAATGGGCTGTCTACAAGTCTATAGAGGTGTCTTCTATCCAATGGGCTCCACCCGGGTCTCACAAATCCCGGTCAATGTCTGAAGAATGGCAGTGCAAAGTTCTGTCCCTAAAGTATCAAATCAGTTCTGTTTCATGCCACAGAGTATAGGTCGTTTCAGCTTCTACTACCAGTCTGGTTTTGTGATGTTTTGTACGCTGGCCTCGGCGACCCTTCACAGCCACAACGAGGCCTCCGTGCGAACCTGTTCATCGCACGCAGCGGTCACGCAGGTGTGGGATGAAGACAAAGGATGAGAAGACGGATGAGTGGAAAGATGGTCCCCCCTGTGAAATTGTAAGAACAAACCTGGACTAGATTTTTGAGAATGCAATTCTAGCCAATCTGGAATCATGGATCAAGGGTATCACTAAGCCCTCATGCCGGCCCAGCTCCTTAAGCAAGGCTTCTACAATGGGGTGTCAAAGTCCTGCACAAAACCAACACTGTAGTCCCCTTTGTATACAGTCTGTAAGATAAGAATGCAACAGAATTGAATAGGTAGGTTACTTATTTATATGTTGTATAGATCAGGCACTCAAGAGACAAGAAACTCTAGTTACACCCTGAAATTTAGAGGATGAACATTGTTTAGGAGTAGGCAGGTGGCCTGATGATCCAGAAGAAGACACACCCTCTTCTTGCCTTCTTGGAGGAGTGTTTCATGGGTCAAGGGTATCGGCATCGACAACATGCTGATCAAACAAGTCCACCTTGCTTGGAAAATCCACCACCGGTTGGATTTCAGTCGATCATCCTTCGGCAAGGACCCCCGACTGATGACATTGACATTGACATTGATATGGAATCAAATTAACCTCAAATTCACCCAACAAATCCCCAGAGTTGCCATGATTCCAAGTCCAACAACTCCTACTCCTACTCCTCCGTCTAGTCCGTCTTTGGGTCCCCATCTTCGCCCAGTCGCATGTACATATCGGGGAGAGTTTCCTACGAACTCGTGGAGTTCGAGTTGGATCGGCGAAAGCGATCGGGCGAGCGAAAGAGATTGCATCGGAATGAAAACAGCAACGCCCAAACTCAATGGAGTCCAATGATCAAGCAAGCATATATATGATATGATATGATATGATATGATAACTGATATGATATGATATGATACAGTATATATATATGGCAATATATATATATATATGTTTTACAATGTTTTACACATGCACCTAACAATCTTCCCACCCTGCCACCTGGAACAGCCTGGAACCTGTTCCCTGTCGGAATGAAAAGTCAAGACCTGAATGGATCTGGTAGAAAAAGACCGGGTCCTCGCAACGAGTGATCACATCAAGCCTGAATGGATCTGGTGTTGAATGGTGTCGATCTGAGAAGTCTGAGAAGCAAAACGCAAAAATGCAAGACTCCAACGTATAGGTGTGTCTAATCCGCACCCCCATACCATCATCACCATCCATCACTATCCACGACAATCGAGGACATGGCGAATAAGCCCTACTGCATCGCCCTTCAGAGATGCCCACCCCCACCGTGCGAATCTGTGCAACACCCCCATCCCCCGAACAAGTCCCAAACTTCCGTGGTGGTCCTGGCTCCTCCTCCACAGGTGGCAAGGTTCCCACCTAAGGCGATCAACACAACTGAGCGAGAAAGTCACCTATTCAGAGTCCTCAAAAGCCAGCCCTTCAGGTGGCAAGCGCACTTCAGAGCCCCCCTTGAGACCCAATCCTCAACTTGGCAGAACAGAACTGCGGCCCAAAAGAAGTAACCACATTGGCAGGACAAGAAACCAACCTCTGTGCGACATACAAGCTAGGATACTCAAAAAGTGCTCAAACTATGCATATCAAACTGCTTCCATGTACCAAAAGGTCTTCTTTCATGGCCGTCGACGATGGCCGCCAGGACGGAACACACCAAACGCCGCCATCACGGAACGCCTCGGGACCAGTCCCTGGACCTGTGCGACGGACTCAGGGGGCTTCAGGGCTCCCTGACACTGGAGCCTCCAAAGTCGTCCTCTGAGTGCTCGTGGTCGGCGTTGTCGCAGGGCGACCGGGTGCTGTCCTGGGAGAGGAGACTCGCCCGCAGGGGCCATGCCAGGGCCACGCCCTGGGTCCGGTGGTCGATTTGGACGTGTGTGTAGGAGAATATTGGAGGGTCTCCCCGCCTAGCTCCCTCAACTGTCAAGGTCTTTCCGGATCTCCCTGTCTTGTCGCATTTGGGGCTCCAGACCCTACAGGGACCGTACGAGTCCACCCACAGCTGCACATGTCCCCCCTAGGTTTCGGTCTATGCCGTCATCGCCGAGGTGCCACGAAGGCATCGACAAATTCAACTGAACATCTCTCAAATGAACAAGCAAAAGGTAGGAGTCTGGAGTGTCAAGCTGTGTGGATATGACTACTCCGGATTAGGGGGTGATGTTGCCCTGGTTGCAGCTCTCTGCCCTGACAAAAGCACTCTTCAAACCAGGACGTGACAAAGACTTATATAATCCAAATCTAGATACCATTGGTACCACTGGAGTCAAAGCTGGCTTCGATACGGCATAGTGACACAGCTTAGGGAGTGTTTTTCTTTGGAGAGCTTCTGACCAATCGGCTGATGCAAGGTCTCTTGGAGCAAGGGAACCAATGGATATAAGTATGCCCTCCACTGCATAAGTTCAGACTGACCAGTAATGAAACAAACATAGCGACAGGTAGGTGCTTGGAACATGATACACCACCATCTCAGCTTGGAGTCAGCATCTTGATACAACGCTCCTTCGGGGGTACCACTTTAGTGAGAAGCTCGTAATAGTTGGCCCTCCCAGCTTGCCATCACCGGTTGTGCAGGAGAACAGAACTGGATAGTCGGGTCTCGTCTACCAACTAGTGCGCTACTAGCCTTGGAGGTCCTCATCCTACCCACAAGAGGATGGTTTCTCTCATGTGAGGGTCCTCTGACTGTCTTCCTGTGGCCTGAATCAAAACTGTAAGGGAACTCCATGTGTTGCACACCTTCCAAGTTGCACTGAAGCAAGGAACCCTGTGAGCTGAACCATCTTGGACCCCTCTTGGCCACTGTGAATCAGGCGGCGGTGGGATTATGGCTTACAGCTTACTATACTCACAACGGCTCCGCAACTGCGACATGAGGTATCGTCCATCCTAAAGCTAGAACATGAACCTTAGATGCTGCGAACCCCTCACAGACCCATGCGCGTACTGCCTACATCACGCGCGTGACAACTCATTGACGACAAAGGAGAACCAGCCATGGTGGGACCCTGGGAAGACCTGGGCAAGACCTCTTGAATGCTCAACTGCACCCCCCCCAGCGCCATGACCATGGCCCACTCCACTCGAGCCATGGCACGCTTGTAGTGTCCAAGTCAGGCATCATGTTGTGAGCCTCTGTTGTGGCAAAGCAGGGGCTTCGGACTCTGTTGGCATGGCGCTTCCTGGGACTTGAGCTAAACTCCATGTGGAGTCATTTCCAGTCGAACAAACACATTCCAAACTATGCCCGCTGCATGCACATAATGTCACACATGATGCAGTTTGGAGTGATGTTCTTCTCTTGGCCGAAAACAAGAATACCCCGGAACCTGATTACTTATTCAACTAATTATGAGTCAAGAACGCTACTAGGGGCTCCTGGCATCGCTACTAGGAACAAGAAGCTACTAGGGGCTCCTGGCCTTACTACACCGTGGGCCCGCCCTTTCTTGAACACTGTCCTTCGACCCCTTAATGAACCAAAAGGATCACAGAAAGGGTCAAAAGGATGAACCTAATTGCCCAAGTGATGCTCTTTCAGATATAACCCTCTATCTGCGGCTGAAAACAAGCATATCGTATCTCTCCCGCATCGGTATCCTCTGCGCTCCGCTTTCGCGCTTTCGCGCTTTCGCTCCGCTCGGGTCAGGTCTCGGACATCGGCCATCACGCTCTGCTCCAAGGTACCTCGGACGGAGGCACGTGAGGCACTCAGCGTGAGGCACTGAAGACGTTGGGAGATGTGACGTAAAACATCAACCGGGCCAAGACGAAAAGAATGGGAACACTGAAGCAAACATTCAAAAGAAGTGGTGAAGTAAACCTGAATAACCAAGTAGATAAGTAGATTATAAACAACTCAAATTCAAACATTGTAGACCTGAATTTGCCAAGAGATGACGCCGGAAAAGTTAGCTTGGTGCCATGGGAACTGGATGTGTTTTTCTTCCCCATTCCAGTCGCCTCCATCCAGATTTTCGTCAAGTTGCGGATCACTTGGGAAAGCATCGCTTGATCCGCCGCACTCAGCTTGCCTCACGCACAAACGGTGAGAGAGGCACCAACAACCATACCAACCATTATATATCAAGCAACCAGCCAGTAGGACCTCAGTGGTCCCCAAAGCTACCGGCATCTCTGTTTCTAATTCGGCCATTCTTCAGTGGCGCCCAACCAACCCATCTAAACGCACGGTTTTTCTTCGGCGCCTGGGTTGTGGGAGATGCCGGACAGAAGCTGGTTGAAGCGGACCTCGGTTGTTTTGAAGCGGTGCAGAAAGAAAACGATTTGGTCGACTCTTTTTTTGGGGAAAGAATCTTTGGACGGAACTTCCTTTTAGTGGCATTTGTGCGAGGAGCTGATGGTTTGTGAAGTACCTGAAGCAAACAGAATCTAACACAATAGGGAATCCTCGAGTTTGAAGGTTGGAGGGGCAAAGGTATTCCACCGAGGTTGGTGACGTCAAGAGACACCGCCCTGGAATCAAGCTTGCCGGAATCAAGCAGATATTCCACCACCATCCAGATTGATTCTGAATATGTTTGGAGGATGGTCATTAATATTGAGGAATCATGTTTGACCTCTTGATACGATTCAGCCTCCAATGCCTTGCATGGAAACTTGGAGGTGCCATTTGACTTGCCATTTGTTATGCGACCCTCTCTCATGCGTGAAGAACGAATTTAATATTCCCAAGAAAGTACTCTGCACCCATGATGGGTGGTATAATATTCCCACGAAAGTATTCTGCACCCGGCCCATGATGGGTGGTACCGTACGACCAATTATATAAACAATAACAAATAGAAAAACAACAAAAGCAAACAATATCAAAAACATCAATGATAGATTTATTTCACGGGGTGAGATGAACCGTGGGATATGTGTTGTAAGACACCACGCATGCAAAAAGCAACCCATCTTGGTGAGGGATGATGCATTTGCAAGCTACGAACGCAAAAGCCCAAAGTGAGGCTGGGCAGGCTGACCACATCGGTTGGTGAGAGGCGCGCATACAGATCCGCCAATGCCTGGCAGTGGCTTTTCACGGTCCCAAGCAAGTCCTTCCAGCTTCGTCAACCCATCGAAATCAAACAGAACTGGTGAACACACCCTTGGCAAAGGGCTGACACATATTCCAGAAACATATCACTCATCCCATGGGGGTTCCAGGTGTCTTGCACATACAGCTCCGCCAAATGGATTCAGTGTGTTCATTCATGAGACTGTCTGAGAGCAGGAGGCGAGGGAATGCAAGTTACATCAAGCAGTCTGAGTGTCCCCATTTGCTGAACCCTTGCAGGCCTGACCTTGCTCCTCAAGCACAAACAGTCCCCTCTCGGATGGTCTGCAATTTCTTGGGGGCTTCCGGTGAAGAGTACTTAGCAGTCACTAGCTGCTGCATCCAAACATCATCTAAACTCCACTCCTTTGTCTCAAAGGTCAGCCACCAAAACACTTGGTGGGATGAATGATGAATATCCATGTCAGCCAATGAGAAATACAAAGCTTAACAAAGAACGACACACACACACACAAAAAAAAAACATAGCAGCTGTATAGGCGGGTGTTCAGAGATGTGGTCAGCTTGTGGTTCTTCTGCCCATCTCTTCTTTAAGGGAGGGTGAGAGATCAAAAAAACAAATATTTAACGTCGTATCAATTAAAAAAACATCTACACCTTAGTGATCTTTAAAAACGCTGAAGGCATAGTGCTTTGAACAGGGATCCTTTCGTGCGCCCCCTGGCCTTTGCCATCAACTGCTGGGGGGTCGATTTCCGGCTCTCCACCTGTGCGGTGGTCACCGTGCGGAGGGATTCAGTGCGCGCATTCCGTGGATCGACGACCAGGTGTTGAGGGAGTTGGTCTATGAATTTGAATTAGTTGAATAAATGTGAGGCCCAAACTGCACAGTGAAGATAGGAGTGAGTATATGGAGCTTTAGATTTTTGGGTCCGCCACCATCTACTGATGCTTCAGATCATCAATGATTCTCTCTGGCCCTCAACCACTAGAGTTCCGGACCACTGGCGATGTATTTCTGGGTGTGAGTGAGAACACTGCTTCTGTGGTACCAAATGGGTAGTCCACGACGTCCATTCCATAGAGGAAACCACCTGATACTAGCCATCAAAAGCCCTCAAGAAGCAGCAATCTCTACACTGATGATGATAGGATGTCCCTCCAAGACAAACATGCCACCGACAAGCTCAGTCTGGTGACTCAGTTGGTGGTCTGGTGACTCAAATCGCAAAATCTGACGCATCGCCCTTAGATCAGCTGCTGTGGATCTGATGGTTAGCATTGCATTATGTATCTGATGAGCAGAGCTGCCCACGGATTGATCAGTCGCCTGGTGTTTTCGTTCGCTTCATTGTTTTCACAGCAGCATCGTCATCGGTGGCATAACATTGTCATCGGTTTCATAACAGTCATTCATACCCACTTGCCGAGAAAGGTCAAAGTGAAAGGTTCATCCATGGATAACCCACCCATTGAAAGACGAGTCTGGCAGTTTGCTTGGAGAGAACTGAAAGAGTCAGCACCAAAAAATGTGGAAGCTCTGATGGAAGTGATCCGAGACAGTGGCCAAGTCAAACATACGCGGTCCGCACTGATGAAAACGAATAGTGTTTGAACCTGGATGTTTTCACTATGTTCCATGCTCCGTTTACATGGGGTTTTACAACACAGGCCTCATCTTGTACCAGGCGACCAGTTATATGGGTTCAAGAACAAAAAAGCTGACCTAGAAACACTGGGTGGGATCCAAGGAACTCGCTTTCTGCTACACCACTGCTCAGATCGGAGCACATCTGGGAGGCTGAGAATCAACACCGCACCTTAGGACCTTCTGGAGTCTTCAGGGAAATCAGTTAGTAAAAAGACCATATATCAAATTAAATAAATCCTCAAACTGCTTGGATTATTTCTAATTATCTCGAAGACCTTACGAGGTCTTGCCGCGAAAACAACAGCATATCATATATCAACTTCTGCCGCTGAGGCATCCCTGGCGCGTCCGTCACCGCATGGCACCCATGACCGGTGTTTCAGGCAAGCACCTCCTGTGTGAAAACCCTGCTCCCTGCTGTGGAACAAATCGTCCACCACCCAAGTAGGACAAAAGCATATAATTCTGGCAATGAACAAAGCGAATCTAATGAACCTCGTGCTTGTGTGCTTGTCAAGGGAAGAGCGAAACGATGTTCGGCCAGAAAATCCTTCATCACCGATCAACTGCTCCGCCTTCACGACCATGCCCGGCAGTGGCGCTGGCGTTGTAAGCAGTCCACCTGGGATGTTCAGAACAACAAGCCCGACCAACCATGGCCAACTTTTGTCCGGTCTTCAGTGCACTCAGGTCATTTGAAGACTTTGCTAGTTTCCTTGATTCAAATTAGATCAGCTTCGGCCTGAATACAACTGGATAGCACCCCAAACATATCAACACAGCGTTACAAGTGCCACGCGCAGAAACTAATGACTCGACTCTAGTTAAGGTGTTCAAAAGATTGAGTAAGAGCTGTCATGTTGTGGGTTTGACTTAAGCAACTGAGGTAGATGCAGAATTCGACAGACATCTCTAGAAAAAAATAAGTTTTGATAGATCTAGTTAAAAGAGCTACTCAAGCAATACTCAGTGAGTTGCAGCAGCCCACAGGGATCTCTTTGTTGCCAAGATTCGAGAAGTCGCTGTCATGCAGGACTCCTGGACACCACCTAGGAGATGTGTGAAAAGCTTGGCAATGGAGGCAATTGCTATTAGATTGGAGGCCATCGCTAGTAGGTTGGAGGCCATCGGTAGTAGGTTGGAGGCCATCGCTAGTAGGTTGGAGGCGAGGACATCGCTAACAGGATGGAGGCCATCGCTCTTAGGACGGAGGACATCGCTCTTAGGTTGGAGGCCATTGTTTTGCTTGGTTTTTCTCCTCAGGTGGTGCTTGGTCATGGATCTATATATCTCGAGGTCATTCCAAGCATACACAATTAAAGGATCTCCGGGTGGATGCGTTTTCGGGTACAATCTTCAATCACCCGACGTTTTTGGTGTGGTGACCACATAGGACACCAGAGGAGCGGCTGGTGATGTGATGTTCCACTTCCATGATGATTCCAGGGAGTGTAAGTGAAGCCAAGGAGATCGCAATGACCACAACTCTGCTTGGCGCCAACTAGCTTCTATAGTTTCGAGCTCGCTCTGGTTGCTCCTTCTAGAAAAAAGGATGTTGAACAAGGCGCGACCATGGCGCGACGGGCCTGTGACAGGCGCCGGAACTCTATGGAGCTCTGTTGAGCTGCAGCAACCAACGTATCTGGGTAAACACTGAGATCCTATACCCTTCATATCCGTTCATCCTACGTTGCTCGATTTCACAGCTCGGCAGCTTATTCGCTTCCGTAGTGATTCTAATCAATCATTCAGAGGTGTTTCAACATGTTTCAACACACTCCTGAAACCAGGGGATGCACAAAGCACAAACCCAACAGTTTCTGGAGAAGTCAAAGGAGTCGAGAACCTCTCAATGGAAATGACAGGAAGACAGTCCCCAAGTAAAAACACTCCCAAAATCCAGTCACATCAGCAAGGTCATCTGCCAGCCTTCCCCTTTTTGCTTCGCTACGATAAAACGGGAGGGGCGAAATCACGAAGTCATTCGCCCAGTCATTCACCCATTGCGTCCAGGCACGGGCATACTCCATGCAGAACGCATCCATTGGATCTACGGAATTAGCTGGAACGGAGTCTTCCCTTTACCCGGCGCTGACTGAGTGTTGTCAACCAAAATGGCTGCAGAAGGTGTCGATGGTGTGGCGAAATGAGACCACTCTAGTAGTCTCTCCAAGCCCAAACAGGGTAATTACCCGCGTACTCTGAAATTACATTTCCCAGACACTCCATGTGTGGAACATTTACCTACATGGGGGTGGTTTTGGGGGGTCAGTAAATATTCCAGACATGGAGTGTCTGGGGTTGATAAGCCTTCTGGTTCCGATAGTAAGGTTGGCCCACGCCCATCTCTTCCAAGCAAGTGCGGTCACTGGATGCCCAAGAGTGGAACCACGGTAAAAGAACCTGGTATGAACATGGCAATCCTTCATGTTACTCGGGTTTATAGGTTTACGATGATAATGATCATTATGATCAATAATCTGAGGAAAAGGATTCATTATATCTAACCCTCTATCATCACTGCGTCAAATCAGCCTGTATCAATCGTGGCATTGACCTCCTGCCATTAACAACCAACAAAGTTCTCATGATTTTGTTGTGATGTCCAGTACCTCAGTACCTCCAACCCCGATGGCGCAATCACTTGGAAAATGAATCACTAATGATATACTCCAACAAAAACATTGCTTTTGGGGAGATCAACATCACCTATCACCTGCAGTATTTCCAACGAACCACTCTTTGGTCTTCTCCGACCTATGGGCGCCCGCTGGGACGCGTCAGGTCGACAGGGTCCGCTCCGCTGTTGGGGTGCCGAACGTCTGTCCAGGACGCCTCGCAGGACCTGATGGTGCAAAAATCAGGCGAAGACCGAAGAGACCGAAGACCTGACTTTTGCAACCCTGGTTGAAGGCTTGCACACTGCTTCTCCGGAAAGAAACGTACCAGGGCGTGGTCCTTCCGGACATCTTGGTCCCTGTACTAAATAGTCTTAACATTCCTCCATAGAGAAAAGTTTACCATGGTTGGTGGAGATGCAAAGCCCGACCGACTAAAGACAGCCCAAAGATGGTGAACTTGTGGTGCATTGTGGTGCTTTTCTTCTGTGAGCAGCGGAAAATGAGGACTGCAAACAGATTGTAGGGTTCGGGGATGGATCTTTGGGAGGTTCCCGACTTGGACAAACATATTATACATATATATGTATCAAGCCAAGTTAATCCCGAGTACCTATTAATAAACACTCCCAAATAAAAACCGGAAGCCCCTGAATACGGTTTATACTGTTTAAAGTACCGCCCTAAAGCCGCTACAAAGCTACCAACACGGTCGACTTTGGTGTAGTTTTTTCTAGTAGGTTCCCCGAAAACTCCCTCAAAATCGACCATGTTGCTAAGGCTGGGTCCACCCTGGGGTCGTCCACCATGGCTGTCCAACCCTGGTTGTCCCTCGTTTCAGCTGTGTAGCGGACTGTCTGGCTCTCTGTCTGGCTGGGCAAGTTGATATCCTCTTGCCCCAAATCCTACAAGCATGCCGCGGTTCTATATATAATTAACTATATTCACCTTGGCTATACTAATCACGACATCGACACTTCACGGTCAAAAAAAGCTGCGCCTGCAACAAAATCTGCACTTCCAGGTTTACAAAGTCCTGCACCTGCCACGAAATCTGCACTTCAATCTTCACAAAGCGCTGCGCCTGCCAGGAAATCTGTATTTCATATATGTCATTAATCAATGATTAAAGGATCCTCCCATATCCTCCCACTGACCCAATTTTGGACAACCCCTATTTTAGGGACCCCCTATTAACAAAATTGCACCCGAGATTTTGTTCATACGGGGGGAGGGGCGTGCTTTTTACTAGGTGGAAGTTTAGGACCGAAACCCTGCCTTGGACAAGAATTGAAACAGAGAGGGTCAAACAAGGGGCCATTGTGAACCTATCGATTCGCTGCACGCATCGATAGGTGAACTCACAAGACATGGAACCTGCTTGTCTTCCAATTCACTCTTGCGTGCAAGAGTAGAAGTCTCGTTGACCCAACAGCGATGGACTTTCAAGGCGTGCAAAAAAGATTTAAAAAAGAAACAGAAAAAGCTATCGAGATACAAATATGTTTCAAACTGAAGAAAACTACCACACATGGAGGATAGTTCATGTTTGCTCTTCTCCCACTCCCAAAGAGGACGCAGGACTACAAGCCTTTAATAACTCCTGAATCCATCCCCCCAGTCAGCCAAAACAAAGCGTTTGTAGGTCACGTGGCTGTGGGTCAAAACCCGGAGCCCTGTTGACCCTGTAGGTAGTCTATTCTGTCGATGTTCGGTGGTGAAAGACCCAGAAAGCCATGTAGGGATGTTCATCTCGCAGCCACTCCCAAAGCGTCTGGCAGCGCGTCTGGCCACCGGGCAGTCCAAAGCGCAAGGCCACCCCAAAGGCCCAGGAGAGATTCTGGCGGGCGCTCAGACCACTCGACCCCCAAGTATCAAGGATCATGAGGATCTGTAGTTCGATGTTCATGGGGTTCTTTATGAGATCCGAACAAAGGCCCAAGAACATGAAGCTCACTATGAAGCCCTATTCCCTATGGATCCACCTGCCTTCGTATTTTTTTCACCAAGGGCGCCTGATGTCGACGGCTGGGTCTGTGGATCTCTAAGGCACCCTGTCCACCTCTCTGGGACGTCCCAACCGGTCAAACCGGTGGCTTGAACTGGAATGAGTCCGATTCATGTGGCGGTCTGCCCGCTTTGTGGCGGATTTGGTGCATCAATGAACCATCGCAGTTTACATCGGAGCGGTGGAGTGTTGGTAGATGCGTGGAGCGAACACGTGAACAAAATTTAAAATAGGTGGATCTAAATAGGGTTGAGGGACAACATAACAACGTGCTGTTGCCGTGTTTACTGCAAACACCGTTCATGGGCAAGCAGCACTTTGGACCATGTCTAAAGTCTATATAGATCAAGCCAGCATTGGTTTAACCAGTGTTGATGTGACCTCGACTTCTGGATCTAGACTGCCCTGCGATGTCCATCAGTCACAGAAAACACAACAAAGTTCCCAACTGACACGTAAGATATCTGTGCAAAAAGTAACATGTCTTGGCAGTTCCAAAGCGTCACAAGTCTAACAAGAATGATTGCACCAAAAAGCTGCACCCCGGAAGATTCACATGGAACCTGATGGCATGGACCTTCGGAAGACTATTTTCCTCTACAACACGGTGGTTGTCGGGTTCCATGTGAATCTTCAAGGGCGTAGGACTTTAAACGTGTTGGATTGTCTCGTCTGCTCGCGCCCACTCTCTTTGATCCAGCGAGACGGTCTTTGAGGTATTTGGAGTGAAACAAATCAGCAAGAAATTGGCAGCTTAAATAAATGGCACAAGGCTGCGCTAGGGAGCTGTTCTTGTGATGTTCTGATTTAATATATGCTGTATGCATGTAACAGTATAAATTTGTGTACTTGATTTATATAGATCCAAATCCAAATAGCCTCAAGATTCTTAGGTTTCTTGTGCCGTGCGCCGTGGGTGTCTCAAAAACCTCGAAGTCACCGGATGTCGTCTTTACATCTCAAAACAGGTGATTTGGAGCCGTTGAGTTTGAGACACAAAGCAAGTTTGATCCAAGAATTTGAAGGTGGGTTGGCTTGAAATGGCTTACCAGCATGGTAAGCGACTGGAGGCACCTTTCATGCATCCAGCAGGGTAATCGCCCACCCGCTTGGGAGATATGGCCACTCCCAACCCCACCAAGGTGACCTTCAGGGGGACCAGCGTGGACCAGGTAAACACTGCAGAGACCGGACACCTCCTGTACCAGCGGTTCCATGTCGTTTTCAGTGCTTTTCAGTTCCGTCTCTAGTCAGGTGTTCCTATCCGCACCCGTACCCCAAAGGGCGCCAAGAGACTGACCCCGACATGGAACTCGACCGGTACACAATATGTTTGATCTTCTTCCACTCCTGGAGGCCACCCCATCCATGGAACATGGGACTGACCGATCCTCTACTCTCCTCAGCTGAACCGATCCTCTGGTTGTATCATAGTCTTAGTTGTATCCAGGCAAATGCCATGCTCATCACCTGAGTCCAGAGACTCCAAAGAGACAGCACCAAGCATAGGTTGATATGGCTTTTGACAGGGAACATCGAAGGGGGCATCAGAGCTCAACTCACGAAGCATATCTACGCATACTCAACCATTAGTAGGGTTTGACTCAAATCACAAGCAACGTTCAACATGTTGCAAATACCCTCTCATTAAACAAACATATCCAAGCTGGAGTAATGCAGACGGATTGTGTTCAATGAAGAATTGCTGCATTCCTCTTCAACATCAAGTTACCATCACCTCTCTGCTCAAACCGATCTTTGCAAACTTTGGGCCATTTTTCTGGGAGGAAAGGGCCGAGAAGCCATTCTGCTCAAACATTAT